GAAGACCCTGTACTATAGTACAGGGACTTTGGTCCAATTTTGGAGTAACTTAAAAAATTCGTAAAAAGTCTAATTTTGATCGGAATCAGCTCAAACTTTCTACGCAACATATAAACATGTATGTGCATCAGAAAAAGTTATAAAAATTGAAAATTCTCTCCTTGTCATTTTTGGCAAAATTTGGCCAAAGACCCTGTACTATAGTACAGGGACTTTGGTCCAATTTTTGAGTAACTTTAAAAATTCTTTAAAAATTCAATTTTTATCGGAATTAGTTCAAACTTGCTACACAACATAAGAACATGTATATGTATCAGAAAAAGGTATAAAAATGGAAAATTCTCTCCTAGTCATTTTTGGCAAAATTTGGCCCAAGACCCTGTACTGTAGTACAGGGACTTTGGCCCACTTTTTGAACAACTTTAAAAAATCTACTGACAAGAAGTGGAGCACTATAAACAAAATCCTGTGGGAAGCCCCAAGTATTATACTGATATATAACATTTAAAAATTACCAACACAGGTGTGAAGATCTGGCCCATATGTGTAGCCATCAGCACACAAACACAAAAAGTCTCCATCAAAATTGACACAGGTTGCACAGTGATGCTCTGGCCTTATGAACTCCAAGCACTCATTCACATCTTAGAGAGGAAAAGAATATTAAAACAAAAAGAGAGAAATAGCTTAATTTATTAACCAGTCAAACAAACAAGAAAGAAAAGAGAGAAATAGAGATGGCATTTAATTATTTATTTACCAGAGCAATTTTTTCCATCACTTGATAGCTTGAATCCTCTCTTACACAAGCAGTGGTAACTGTTCAACTCATTGACACAAAACTGCGAACACTGACTGAGCGAAGTGTTCAAACATTCATTAACATCTACAGCTATAGAAGCACTACTCATTACCTCTTAAAGTTAAAGATCTCTTACGTATGCAGTTTGTTCCATGACTATTTAGGGTATAGCCATCACTGCAACAATCATCATCATCATCATCACTAGGGCAAGTACAAGTATGACTTCCTGCAATATTAGTGCAGGAGTACTTACAGCCTCCATTATCACTAGCACACTCATTAATATCTAAAGGAGAGGGCCCTACTGGATAATTGTGTATATTATACATATTTTACCTATGCATGTTTTTCGGTCACATGATAGGTACATCCATTCCGGGCAGGAGCAAAAGAAAGAGCCGAAAGTGTTAGTACAAGTGTGAGAGCAACCATCAATCCCCTCACTACATTCGTTTATATCTATAAGCAAATATAAGGGGAATCAATGACACTAGCTGACCGACCTCCAGTGATTGTAGTAATGCTTATTCCAGTGAAAACCTCATAGCTAAAAGTATTGAAATGATCAGTGTGGTATTTTATCATCACGACAGTGTCTCTGAACTTTTCCTCTATACGAGAGTCTGAGCAATACTTGTTTCCCCAGGCACCGTTTGAATGAATGCGAACGTAATCTTTTGTGCATAGACCTCCTCCTGAGTTTTCTAGGCTTACAAGGATCGTCAGCGAAGTCTCCATTCCACTCGGTACTACCAGTATCCACTGACAGTCGATGTTGTGAGCGAAAACCCAGTTAAAGGAGATGGTGCCTTTGAAAACCTCACCACAGTTTGAATAGGGAAGAGGAGGAATGGGATTAAGAGGAGGCAGCTGTATGGTTGAATTTAAAGAAGAGTTTGATGTACCTAAAATATCAAATAATTTGTAATACGAGAATATCATAATTTCTCACCACATTTATATAGTTTGTTGATTTGAACAAAGTCCAATCGAGACGGGCACTGGCCAGGGCCGACGATAATACCAGTTGAGAGCGATACTATGGTATAAA